GGCATTTCACTTCTGTACACCTCGGCTTGCATCTTCTAAGAATAAGGACCTCCTCCTGCCTACCTCCAGTACCATCCTCGTACTTACAAAATAGCATCAGCCGTTATAGCATCTAGCATCCACAATAAAGGCTCGTTTCCCTCCTGTTTCCCTCACTTCAGTCTCAAAATCAGTTTCTCTCCTTCGACTGAGCATATGTGTAAACTATTTATTGTTCCCTCCCTCTGTGCAATAAATGCCCCCCAAAGGACACATGGGGTTTGCCTTTTCCTGGGGACTTGTCTGAGAACTTGACAAGGTGGCTAGGGCAGGGGAGTCCCCAAGATCGGCACTTAAACGCGCGGGGGGAAGAGCTACATTCATGCGTTCTAGCCCAGCCCCCAGCCCCTGTTTTCCTCTCTCTAAACATTTCAGGTACCCCCTGGGAGCACAGCACTAAAGGCTTTCCTCAACCACCTTGGACCCTCTCCACAGCTGAAAGGACACCAAGAGAGGACTGCAGTGGGCTGGTGAGTGCGGGGTAGCGTCTGTCGGGTCTCTGGCTGTGGGCTGCACTACCTTCTGCCCTTGGCTTTGCCATTTTGCGTTCTCTCCTTTTCCTGCCGGAATCCCAGCTATTCTACTCTGTATTGGCTACTCTGGGCGCCTTGTGTGTGCCCTTCTTGGCCCTTCCCGGCCGCTGGCCAAGGCGTTGGCGTCGAGCGCCCACACAACCCCCCACCCCTTCCACACCGCGCGCTCTTCCCCTCCCCCCTTCCGCCCCCGGGCCGGCTGGGAGCGGGCGATCGGGGGCGGGGAGCGGGAGCACCGCGTGGCCACGCCCCCAGAGCCGGCTTTTTCTAGGGCCGCTGCAGGCGCCTCTCCACTGGCTGCCCCGCTCGCCTCCCTGGGTGCGCTCCGCTCCAGCCTTTGCTTGGCTCCGCTCCGCCTCTGCCACGACGCTCTCCAAGCTGCGGCTGCAGCCACCCTCCGCCCTGCGACCCCAGCCCCCGGCTCTCCGTCCCTGTTGCTCGGTGCCTGGCACCTCGCGCCCTATGACCTAGCCGTCTCCCAAGTCCCGGCCCTGCTCTCCGCCCTGGCCCAGCGCTCTTGCTGTCTGTGTGTCGGTCTGTCGGTCGGTCTGTCTCGCCCTCCGCCTCCCCATTCCGTCCTTCCTCCCTCTGTCTCGCTTGCTCTCTCCTTCGCTAGCTCTCCGACACGGTGAAACAGCCTCGCGGGAAAATCCCAGAAACCTTTGCAAAAAGCTTACAATGAAATTTCAGAAGTTCTTCGATTTCGGCGCCATTTTCGAGTGGAGCGAGAGGTGACATGCGATTTTTTTTAAAGGGACTTGTTGGCTGGAGTTTTTCCCGATTGTAATGGTGGTTGCAGCAGACAGAAAAAAAAATCTGGTGATAATTCTGAAAAAGTTCTGTGTCGCTTTGGGGTGGTAAAGCACTTTTGGGGGCCGGGGTGGGGGCGAAACAGAACTTTAAAGTGTTCAGCAACTGAGTGCGGCCGGGAAATTTCTCAGGAAACGGGCTGAAAAAAGCTAACATGGAGGGGCGGGGAGAGAAAACTGAGTAAGGGGCAGTGACAGACTGTCAGGTTCGCTGAGGTCGGGAGCGACTGGTTTTGACAATATGTAAATGGACTTTCCATGATTCTTATTTGCAAGCAGTAAAATAGGGCTTGGAAAGAAATGTGTGATTAATTTTACATTGTCTCTCCAGAATTAAAACTTTCAAGGTTGTTTAGTTTTCCCTATAGGAAACTTGACATTGGGAAAGTTTGGCTCGAATGCGCCCAGGGAAGGCACATAGTGTGTATGGGGTGTGGGGGTCGAAGGCATCTTAAAAGACAAAACGTTGTAAAATATGAACAGAGGAAGAGGCGTATTCTTTGGCTCTTAAATCATTTGGCAAAACACATCGCAGTTCAGAAGGGGGTGGGGCTATGGGAACTTGAAAGTATCAATTCTTTGTCTATTGTATCAGCTAATGACCAGCTCCAGAAGTGACAAGATGCCTCTTTGTACCTCTTTTCGTAAGTACATTTTAGTCTAAAGGGAAATATGTAAACTAGGGGATCAAGGTAGCTTTTTAGGGATGTAAGTCGTTGTACTGTCTCTGGGAGAGAAAAAAGGGGATAAGTGAAAGGGATAAGTGAAATGGATTTGATTCCAATGAGTTTGCAAAGCAATCTGGAAGGGAACTTCGCCTTTGACACCGATGTTATTTCGAATGAACTTGTGTTTTTCCAAGTAGTCAACTAAGGAAATGTTAAATTAGGGGTGACTTTAACATCTAATGTGATGGCTCACATATTTGTGTAGAACATAAAATAATTGGGAGAAAGTTGTGGAGTTTTAAAGTATCATTGTCCACTTTCTAAACATGTTTTTTTTTTCTTTTTAAGGGCAGCCAACGACATTTTTCTCCATTAATTCCAAAGGTCATTTTAAAAAATGTTTGTAATTATAATAGCCTAAACAAAGTGGAATTTAAAAATACTTAATTGTCCCGGTTGAGGGAGTGAAGTTATTATTATTAATGACTTTGTTTACCTTGACATTAATAATGTATTTGTTAACACTGGACCTCAGTCTGTGGTTTTAATGAATTTTGTACTTAGTTTCATTAAATACTCTGCACATTTTATTAATTAATAAATAAGATACTTAACATTCATTGTACTGGTTATGAAAAATCGACATAATTTTTAAATGAAACAAAATACTTAGAAAACGTGGATACTTTGTCAATTACTTGTACCAAAATGTATTTTAACTTTCAAAATCTTTACAGTTTTGCACTGGTTTTGTTGTTTTTACTTTCAACTTTATGATTTAGGGTGGGTTTTTTTATATGCTTAATTGAATATTTTGTTTAAGAGGGGGGAAATGCATGTAACTTATTGCTAATATGTGTCCATTTTAAAAAGGAAATGTGGTATCTAATGAGTTAATCGTTAAGGAGTATGCACAGTGCCGGCCATTTCAGGACATGAAAGAGTTTCTGTGGAGCTGCTGGAAACAGAAAGGAGTGATTTGACATCAAGTTTTTAAACTTTCCGATTTATGTTTTGGTAGGTGGCATTGATAGGTACAAATTATTTATAAATAAGTTTGAATAGCCAGTTTAATATGTAAACATCCAGGTATTTGATCTACAGAAAGTTCTCTCTCATTCTTTGATGATCTTAAAAATAACTCAAAACAGAGTGTTTACTGTAAGAATGAAAACAGCCGTGAATTAAAGAAGACATCTGATGCTTGTATAGATGGATGTATATTTCACAGCTATAGTGTACATTAAAATCAGCTGAAGCAGCCAGAGAGGTTTTGGTTATTTCCTTTCAGTCATCGTTGTCTATTTCAAATAAATGAAAAGTTTTGTTTTTTTGTAATGGGGACAATGAATGAGACTTAACATGCAGCAAAAAGAAGTTTTACCAAGATTTGAAGCTGGCAAGAGTGATCCAGATGTAGCCAAATGGCCTCCATTTATTTAATTTTATTAATTGTCTACTTTCAGAGGTAAGATTCTCTCCCACCGCTCTGTTTCTCACCATTACACTTTTCCAAGATTCATCCTCAGGGGAAAAAATTGACAACCACACTCTCCACTCCACCTGCAGATCCTACAAATCAAAGGGTGAAGTTACGAAAAGTACGTCTATTTGGACTGAGGTGGCCTAGTCATGAGTTTTGCTTATTTCTTGCCCTTGGCTGGGGCGGGGCTTCCTTCAGTCACCAAGTCTTTCTTCACCTGCAGGTACCCCAGAGCGATCCCCCTTCGTTGACTCCGAGGGGATGCAGCAGCAATTCATGTTTTGAAGTGCTCTAAATGGTTCAAAACGTGAGGCGCTGCTATACCCCCTCGAGGGGAAGGTAGAAGGTGGGACTGTGCCGGATGCCTGTTCCTGCCACCAGGCCCCGTTCCCTGCCAGGCCGGCTCTGGAGCAGGTAGGTGGGCGGGGGCTTTGGTCTCTCTTCCTGGTCGGGCTGCGCCCTTCCCCGCCCACTCGACAGGGCCATGGTCCGGGAAGGGTGGCCTTGCTCTGCGGGGTGGGGAAGTGGGGGGGGGCAGCCAGGGGTGCACGCAGGCTGTGCCAGCCGGGTAGGGACACGGTGCCCCACACTCAGCCGTGCCCTAGCAGCGGGAACAGTACTGCAGTGAGTGATCAGTGCTCTGGAGTATTGTTGCTGCTGCCAGGGTAAGTCTGGGACTCCTGCACCGGCCCACACACCAGGTAAGTCCAGCGCCTGCAGCATCAGCCCGGGAGCAGTGAGACTGGAGACTCCATCAAACATTTACCAGTCTTTGAATATATGGCTGGGCCTAAAAGGTGCTTCATTTTAGCACCCCTTTTCCTGCCCAGGTGGAATTTAAACGACTGAAAAAAAAAATCCCTTCCCAGTCACTTAGAATACCACCCACAGGACAGCAACGAAGAGGACCCATCTTCAGTCCCCAACAAGGAAATGGGGTGGGAGGTATTGGAAAAGGAGTAAGGAGAGGTGGGACTGCTGACCCCGCTGCAAGCACTCCCCTCTCTGTGGTTCCTGGTAAAGGGGCTCACATCCTGAGTGTGGAAAGGACTTTGGAGTTCAGGGAAGATTAATGAGCCCCTTCCCCACGTCCAGGGCTAATTAGCCCCTTCCCCCCAGCTGTGTTGGGGGAGCTTCTTTGAGCTCCCAAGCAGGATCCGCCTGCGGGAGGGGGTGGGGGCGTGAGGCATGAGGCCTTGAAGGCCAGTGAAGCCACCATGCTGACCTGCCTGACGCTTGCAGAGAGCACAGGGACCAGAGAGCTGGCTCTGGAATGAGGCTCTACATTTCTAGCTTCTTTTTGTCCCCTCCCCCCAAATCTGATACCAGCATTCCACCCTGGAGGCGCTGCCCCAAGGACACCTTTGTAGCCCCAGGGCCCTCACAGAACACACCTTACAGGAGGACCCACTGGCTTGACAGTTCCTGAGCTGTTGATTCAGGGGCCCATCTAGACTCCAAAACTCCAAAACTCTGGGCGCTATTGCTAATTAGTGCTGCACAACTGCCGTCCTCTAAAGCCACCTCCACTCCTCACTGGTGTGGCATTCTGAGCCTTTGGTAGGAAAACGGGGTTCTGAGTCTCCTGCCTGGCAGCTTGATGGCCGGCATAGAAAAGACAGCTAATGCTCTGAGCTCCCACTTTTTCTGTGAATATTTAGATAGTTTTTTGATCTGAAGCATGGTCAGGTAAATGACTATCGGCAAACACAAGGCAGGCGTGAAATCTTTGCCACGCTTTGTCACCTTAAAGGACAACCAAAACACATGGCCCACACCCCTCTCGTCTGTATGGGCTTCCTGGAACTGGGCTTCCCCGGGAGGGGTGGGCCCCAAGAGGACTCCCGGGGGTCGCTGGAGGTCCTGGAGTCCAGAGTTGGGACTCTGGCCCCAGCGGCCCAAAACGCCGCCCTCCCAGACTTCCTTGCGCCGCCGGGGCCCTCCCGGCCCGCGCTGACCCTCATGCCCCCAGGGGCGCTGAGACCTGGAGGCCTCTGCCCGGCCTGCTGCCCAGGCCACCGCCCGCGGCGACTCCCAGGCAGAGAAGCCCCAGCGCCTCTCCCGCCCCGCCCGGCCACTGGCCCCCAGGCCGCAAGGGCGAACAGGTTCCCGCCTCCGCCTGCCTTTGCCCTTGGGGGTCGGGGACACAGCCACTCTCCTTCTGCCTCTCACTGGCTTCCCTTCCCCCTCTCTCCCGCTCTGTATGCTTCCCCCTCGAGCCAGAAGGAGGCCCTGTGCTAGCCGCCCTCCCCGAGGACCCAGCCCGCGCCATCCGGCTTCCTCCAGTGGGTGCCTGCAGGACCCAGGTGAGACGCTGGGCCGGTTGGGGACGCGAGGGGCGGAGGGCCGGGAGCGAGTGATCCTGACTGGGCGGCGTTGCCTTCCAGAATCGAAGCGGCCCTTTGCCCGGGGCTCGGAGAGGCATCGAAATTGAACTCGTCCACACAGCCCCCTGACTGCGTGGTGCCCATTTCTGACTTAAAACATTCCTTGCACTTTTGTTTACACGCTCGAAGTTTCAGTGTGCCTAGATTTTCCTCCAAGGACAAAAATGTGAATAAAGCAATATTTTAGTCAAACATTTCTGTGTCAATTAAGAAGATGGCAATTTGTTCCAGACTATAAATTCTCTTTAACAACTCCCTAAGGTATTCTTTTAAATTGTTTTTTCAACATTGCTAAATGTCCATCATAATGTGTGGGAGACTTGTATAAAGTGAATCAATTTATAGTCGGCTGATTCATTGATCCAGTGTTACCACCTCCAACAAGGCACCTTTCCAGTGTTTTCTTGTTTTTCCCCAACACATGTTATTTGTTAGTGAGGAAGCTGCGTGCACGTGGCATTGTATAAAGTTTCTTAGACAGCCCTGGCCCTTAAGCTAGGAAAAGCTTAGCCTACCTCTAAATCTAAAATTCGACATTTCTATAAGTTGTGAGACAAAGATACACAGGTTACTTTAATAAGCTAGAATGGAATATAATTTTTTAAAAAGTTTTAATCACAGGAAATGTTTTTAAGGCATCCAACTATCTCCAGTTAGCAGTACTGATTTTTTTCCCCCAAAAAGGGAACACTACATCAACACTCATGGCGGGGATCTGGACACAGAAGACTCCTGTTTCAAGAAAATGCAATCATCTCTCAAAGCTATAATTTATATGCATTTTTAACTCACTAGGTAGTGAAAACCACCCAAGTGTCCCACAGTAAGAGGGTAAAATATAATCAATCACTCAGTGTAATATTATACATCCTTTAAAAATGCTATTGGAAAATGTTTTATGATCTGTAAGTCAAAAGAATCCTTTCCCACCATTTCTTTCTCCCTGCTGTTCCCCCATACCCACACTTCTTTGTTCCAATTGGCATGTGAACTTGGTATTCCCGCCAAATGAGTCAGTCAATTGATTTGAACAGATGTGTGTCAATGTTACTTGGAGAACTAGATGCCAATAACCAGGGCCCCAGAAAAAGGCAGTGGTTGCAATTCTGTAAAAAATGTATACATGCAGACAGACAAGGACTAAAGTGGAAGCTCACACAAGAAAACAGTTGGAAATACTCCACTGCTGGGAGATTGAAAGATTGTACACTGCTTTTGATTTCCGTTAATACAGGCAATTGTCCAATTAAAAAAAAAAACCTCATAAGAACTCTGCAGTGCAAATTATTTTCTGATTGTCTTAAAACACCATAGAACTCATCAAGGCAGATGGGGCAGCAGGGGACTGGGTTTGTCCCCTGAATCCTGGTCTGTGGAGCCCAGGACAACACTTGCAGAAAACGTGAACCTACAAGATGAGAATTAACTTTTAGGCAGCTTTCCTGAGAGACTGCAAAATGAAAATAAAAACAGGTTCAAAAAGCATGTTTTGGGAAGATGAATCAAACTTTATTGATAGAAATTAAAAGACTTGAGTTAGGAGCTATATCCAAGTTAGCATACGTTTTTAGAGATCTGTCTTCCCACTGGCCTGCAGTATTCTCATGACCCTAGAACTTTACATATGCATTTGTATGAAGAGTTATTACATTATTCTCAAATGAAAAAAGTGTATATATACACCAATTGTAGCAAGTGTACATCTCACTGACCCCTACGTCCCACTCGGGCCCTCCCATCAGTTACTACCCAGTGAATGAACAAGGATCTGCTAGATCTTTCATATTTCACCTATCTGCCGCCTTAGCCTCCCTCCTCAGCTGCACAATCAATCTCTTTGGCAAGTTCAAAGAGGCAGAAACCCCTGTGCAGATAGTAAGTTGAGCCATTAGGGAGGAGCCCTGAAAGACCTTCCACTTTCTGTGGTCACTCTGGCTTCGGAGCACTCCCCTTACACTATTGAGCTCTATACACTGAGCAACTGGTGGGAGTTTGGGAATATGGTCCCAGCTTCACTGCTGTCAGGGAGCTGAGAACAGTGCAGCAAACTAAGAGTCTTGGTTGCTTTGAAGTCTGAATCTCCCTCACCTGTTCCTCATTCCCACCCCCACTTGCTATCCAGACTACACCACACTATTATCCCAAGACCAGACCTTTTAAAAGCCTGGCCACAGAATCATAATAATCCCAAGATCTTGCTTTTGTGTCATGCTTTTACATATTTTCCAAATTCTCTCATATTTTTTATTTGCAACAACTTTGAACGAGATACATAGATAAGGCAGTCAAAGAAACAATTAAAAACAAGACAACTGGGGCTTCTGGAGATGAAAGATTTGTCTGAGGCTAGTCTCTGTGCCTCTTCCTCTGGACCTCCTGCTGTGCTCCTTATGTCATTACCTGTTAATCAGAACCAACTACATAATAATGACTAGAACAGAAAATGGGGTTGAATTAGTATGTTTGGTTAGTTAGAAAAATTCCAGGAGAAACTGACTATTCTTATGGTGTGCTTTTGCCTACACACTGGACACTTCCTGGTTGAGGCCCGAAATTGGTCCCAGTGTTTACAAACACTCAATAGTGTTTATAAATTACCTAGCTGTGTATGAATTGATGTGCACAAACCAAAAAAGTGTGATTTAAATTCATTTAAAACCTCTGGCCCATATTTGTTATTTTCTATAGATTCAAACAAATTAATCTTAAGGAAGGAAACAAACAAAATGTCCAAACATAGGGGTTAACTTAACCTAGTCACTCACTCAATAAAACGTTTTTCAGCCATTACAAATAATATAACTATCAAGACTATAATTATATAGTCTATAAATAGCTATAAAGACTACATAGAAACCTAGAAAATGCCTATGATAACAAGTTTTAAAAAATCAGCTCTATAAAATCACAGGGACACCATGATTGAAAAGTAGAAGCAGAAACTGGAAGAAACCTGCAGAACAAACATACTTGTTACTTAAGGGTGGTGGGATTAGAGCTGAAGTTTTTTCTTTCTCTACTTTTTCATCTTTGTTGTTGTTATGCCATTTTTCTCTGTTATGTTGTCAATTCTTTAAAAAGTCTTTAGGGATCGTGGGTGATGATACAGAAATTTGGGGTCAAGGATGCACAGACCTCAGACATCTCGGGGATCATCATGTCACGAGATACCACTGTGCACTTGTGACAGATTGATAACTGAAACGTCTGAGAGCCACTCACCTTCAGAGCAACACGTGTGGTAAGTATTATAAAACCAATTGATGAAAAGATCAGCAGGAAAGTGGGCCCTAAGCAAGGAAGAAAAAGGTTGCCATGGGATGGGGAGGTGAGTTGTAGTTTCATAGGAGTGTGATGGGAATATCCTCAACTATTTGTGTCTTTAACTGTCACATTACATTTCTGTTTAATGAATTGAAACTTACATAGGACATATGATTTTATATTTGTGCTAGAATGTTAAAGAATTTATGCTCAAGCAAACAACTGGGAAAATATTTGCTATAAGGATTATAGACACAGGGTCATCTTTAAAATGTTGAGTCCTCACAAATGGTCAAGAAAAAACAAAAACTACATGAACAGAATGCCACAGAAAAAGGAATATGCTCATTTCCGTGTTTTTAAGGATGGAAATTAGGAACACCCTGAATAACCAGTAACAAAGGATTGGCTAGATAAAATATGGTGTATCTAATACAATGGAATAGATGCTTTCATTTAAAATATTGTTTCTGAAAATAATTTTTGTGACATGAGAATGTGCTCCTGATATGTTTAGTGATAAAAGAAACATGCAAAATCTTTTCCCACCTAGGCAATATAAGTATATGGAGAGCATTCCATATGCATAGTTTTGTATCAATATACAGATAAAAAGCTAAAGGAAATGTTTAAAATCTTTATAGTGGTTATCTCTGAGTTGTGATATACTAAGTTATCAAAAAAAAGATGCTAAACTATTTTTGCGATGTGTTCCTAATATGTAATATAAATGTATTGGGAACATTTTGCATTCATAGTTTTGTATCAATAATATGGGAAAGAGGCTAGCAAGAATTTTACCAAAAGTCTATAAAGGTGGTTATGTCTGAGCTATGGCACTACAGGCAATCAAAGAAAGATACTAAACTGTTTTTGCGATGTGTTCCTAATATGCACTATAAATATATTGGGAACATTTTGCATGCATAGTTTTGTATCAATATACAGACAAAAGGATGGAGAGAATAAACCAAACACCTAGCAATGGTTATCTGTGGTTTGCTTTTGTAATAAAGGTAAAGTGCAGAATTATTTTTGCAATGTTTTCCTGGATATGTAATATACATGTATTGGGAACATTTTGCATCCATAGTTTTGTATCAATGTATGGAGAAAAAGCTAGGAAGAAATATACCAAAACTTTAACAGTGGTTATTTCTGGAATTCTAGTGTTATAGGTGATGTTTGTTTTTCTCTTTATGTATTTTCCAAGTAATGTAAAAACAACAAAATGCTTATTCTTGTAGCAATAATAAAACTTACTTTATTTTTAAAAAGAGTTTGTATTTATTAAAACAAAAAAAAAGCATGAATGCCTGACATGGGGATGGGGGACAACTTCCTATTTGGCCAGCAGTGGGCCTAGAATACATTTTCAAATCTTTCTGGGAAAACCTTACACAGCTTGAGTTGGATCTGCAGAACAAATGCATGTTTTCATTTGCTCTTGGCAAAGGAAAGTATAATTTAAAAATATAACTGTGACAGAGTAATAATAGTAAGATGGCTAAACAGACTGCTTTCTCCTGTCTAATGAAAGTATCACTTTAAGAAGTATAGAAAGTTGAAACAGCCTCCTTTTCCTCTAGGAGCAATTCAGGAAGGTGGTACTTGGATGTTTGCCCAGGGCCTCAAGACACATTGGCCAGTTTGGGACATGCCTGAGTCAGGAGAGCACCTTACAGAAAGCCTAGTTCCACTCAGCTAAATTTTTGCAGATGCAGGTAATGCCCCTTGCATTTTCCCACAAATTCTGCCGAGCTCCATGATAACCCCAGTGTTTGAGAACATACGTGATGCCCCAATTTAGGTGCTCCCTATTCTGGTAAGAGAGACAGAACCATTTGGTAACATACCCAGCCCATGGTATGCCAAGGCACCTACCAAGGGTTTTAACGTTCCTCAATGGCACTGATTTGAATAGAGACAC